CCGTCTCAGACGTCTAAGAGCACGACAATATGCCGCGGCTCCTTGAGGAAGCCCGCGCCGTTCCTGCGGCCGTCGGCGCTGCGGCCGTCGACGAGCCGCGCGACGACCTCGGCGGCCTGCTGCACGGCCTCGGGCTCGTGCTCCTCGTGGCCGGCGAGGACGTCGACGAGCGCGCCGAGCGCCGCGTCGCCCGTGGGGCCCGGGTAGGCCGCGGCCAGCGCTTCGAGCTCTTCGAGAGTGGACACGAGCTCGCCGCCGCGCGCCCACGCTAAGCGCTCCGCGAGCGTCTCCGCGTCGTCGCCGTCGCCGTCGGCCATGGCGTAGCGCAGCGCTCAGCGGTTCGCGCTCGTGCTCACGGCCTCGCTCGGGCTCGAGGCCTACTCGATGCTTGAATTGCGGAAGCGCTCGCCTCACGGCGGAGGTGGCGCGCAGCGCGGTGGACGCGCTCGCGCTCACGGCCTCGCTCGGGCTCGAGGCCTACTCGATGCTTGAATTGCCGCAACGGTGCATGTGTCCGCGACGCTGCGCGCGCGACGCAGACGTCGAGCTGAGTTTCGGGCGCGGAGCCGTGAACATTGGAGCGCTGCACGTCGTCCTCGTCGCTTCCTCGATTCTCGCGGGCACAATCGCGAACGCCCGCGCGGCTGCGTCCGCGGAACCGCGCGGCGGGCACACGGCGCACTTCGACGGACGCTCCCGCTGTCTCCATAGGCCAGGGACGAAGCTTGGCGCCGCCGATGATCGCGCGACGCGCCACGAACGGCCGCTTTCGGGACCGTATTTTTTGTCCTACTGAACCTAGTATCAGCAACACAAACCTCTGTCTCTCCCTCGTCGAGGTTCCCCGCGCGCTCCTTCGTCTGACTTCCCGCCACCGAGTTCGTCCACTTTCGCAGACCCCTACCTCGAAATCATGCAGGCGAGCACCCGTGTCGAAGGGAGCCCTTCCGCTCCAAACACTACTAACCCCGAGAGTCGCGTGGGGCCGCCGAGAGTCGACGTGGTTTTGACGTTCGGCCTCGCTGACGGCGAGGGCCGTCCGAACGCGAATCCGCGGGCGGCGGCGGCGGCGCGCCGGCTCCCCGGGTCTCTCGGGCTCCCGGGAACTTCGCCGCGACCCGCGCGACTCTAACGGGCCGCGGCGCGGCGCGTGGGGCCGCGGCGGCTCGGCCGCGCGGCGGGAAGTAGCGACAGTTCCGCCCAGCTGCTCGCTCGGCGCGCGTGCCACTCCCACGTTTCGCGCGTCTCACTCCTCCCGCCCCTCGCAGATTTTCGTCAAGACTTTGACCGGCACAACCCCGCGTCCAGCGGCGACCGTCGTTTGAGAGCTCGAGAGCTGTGAACGAGGGTGTGACGGCGCACGACGTCGTCGTCGGCTGGCCTCGCTCGAGCGACTGGCAGCCGCTGCGGCGCTGCCAGCGGCCGGCGACGCACTGGACGCCGTCCTTGGCGCTGGCGCGGGGCTGGGACCCGTCGACGGGCGCGGAGCCGTTTCCGACGCCTCGACGCCTTGGCGCGGCGGGGACAAAGTCGTTCTGAGACGTCGGGCGACGCGCGAGCGCGTGCTCCGTAGGCAAGACCATCACGCTCGACGTCGAGCCCAGCGACACCATCGACAACGTGAAGCAGAAGATCCAGGACAAGGAGGGCATCCCCCCGGACCAGCAACGCCTCATTTTTGCTGGCAAGCAGCTCGAGGACGGCCGCACCCTCTCCGACTACAACATCCAGAAAGAGAGCACGCTGCACCTCGTGCTCCGGCTGCGCGGCGGGATGCAGATCTTCGTCAAGACGCTCACCGGTCCGAACCAGCGTCCCGCGACCGAAGTCGCTCCCGAGGCCTTGGTTGACGATCGCGTGCTCCGTAGGCAAGACGATCACGCTCGACGTGGAGCCCTCGGACAGCATCGACAATGTGAAGCAGAGTGCGTACGCCGCGTCCAGTCGCCGCCGCCGCGCGCGTTGCCCGCCGCTGCCGCTCCGAGCAAGTCGCAGTCGCGCGAACTCACTCGTTGTCCCCCGCAGAAATCCAGGACAAGGAGGGCATCCCTCCGGACCAGCAGCGCCTCATCTTCGCCGGCAAGCAGCTTGAGGACGGGCGCACGCCGGCGCCGAACGACTCGCGCTTTGAACCGAACGACTCGCGCTTCGAACCCCAACTTTTCGTCCGCTCGCAGGCGCACCCTTTCAGATTACAACATCCAGAAGGAGTCGACGCTCCACCTCGTCCTCCGCCTCCGCGGCGGGTCCTAAGGGGCCCGCCGCGGCCGCCCGCCGCCCGCGCGCCCGCCCGCCGCCCGCGCGCCCGAGCGCACCAAGCGCGCTCAGCCTTCTTTGGCTCCCCACGGTTCTCGCCCTCGCCCACAGCGTAAGCTCGTAGAACCGTTCCTACTTAGGTCATGGGGCTAGCTTAAACTAACCTAAAGCACATTTACCGACCACTGATGCTGTCCAGTGCACCGATCAAAACTCAGATTCTGATAGCCTGGATTTAAAAGTCAACATTTTTGTTGAACTTCAGCACTTTTGTTGAAGTTAAATCTTGCGATTTCGCGACCCGAACCAGCGACCGCGCGCAAAAAGCCATCGCAAACGTGCAATTAACGCGCGAATATCATCAAACGTGCTTTGATACGACCATAACCCAATTTTGGCCGTGATTTCAGCCCGCGGACCGCCGCGACACCGCGCCCGCGCGCGCGGTCGACGTACAGCCTCTATGGACGACTAATGACTCTGGCTCCGCCGGCCGGAATTCGATGATTGATCTTTATTAATATTTCCTATGGGTGCACCTAGATGTACGTTGATCGGGGCACTGATGCTGTCACCGATTCGCCCCCCCGACCGCCAACGGCGGCGTCCAGCTCGACTCGCCCGTCGCGTAGTTGTAGTAGTAGACGGGGTCGCCGCCGGCGACCCAGCCCGCGGGGAGCTCGACGTCGGGCCGCCGCTGGCCCAGGTCCGTCCGGTGGAACGCCTTCCGGCAGTTCGGGCAGTCCGCGCGGTCCGCGCCGTGCATGGCCCAGCGCAGGATGCACACGCGGTGGAACTTGTGGCCGCAGTCTGGAAGCGCCGCCGCCAGCCCGCCCGCCGTGCCGCCGAGGGGCTGGAGGCAGATGCTGCACTCCGAGACCGCGACCGCGACGGTCGACCTGGGCAGGAAGAGGGTGCGAAATTCCCAACTTTGGAGGCTCATATCTCATTTTTGGACGGGCGATCATCTCTCGGAGCGCCCTCGACGCGTAGATCCGTTCTCTGGAACGATCGCGCGCGGAACGCTCACGTTGAAGCGACATTGAATCACCCTTTTTCCTGCTCTGGTTCGCGCGGCCGCGGCCGCGGCGCCGCGTCCCGCGGCGCCGCGTCGAGCACATGCAGTGCGTCTCCTTCATGGCCAACGAGACCATGTTGCACCAGGGCATCTCGCACCGTCGACGGCCGCGCGGCCTCGCGGATGCGCCGCGCGCGCGTCAGGGCCACGGCGACGGAGTCCTGCTCCGCGACGCCCCGGCGCCCCCGCGCGGGCCGCCGCCGGGACCGCCGCGCCAAAGCGACGGAAGCGCCCGCGAGCGACGCCGCCGCGGGCCGGTCGTCGTCGCCGCCGCCGTCGTCGTCGGGCGCCGTGGCGGCGCGGACGGCGCGCTTCTCGCGGCGGCGGTGCATGGTCTCGTACCAGGTGCACGTCGCGGAGCCCCGGTGCGCGTCCAATTCGTCGGCGGCGACGACCAAGTGGCACCGCGGGCACCGCAGCGCCCCGTCGACGAGGTCCTGGTCGCTCTTGAGGAAGGCGACCATGTTGTGGGGCCGCTCGCGCGCGTGCGCGATCGTGATGTCGCGCAGGTTCCGCAGCGACGACGACACGAAGTCCGCGGGGCCCGGCGGCAGGTGCTTGCGCGCCTCCCGCTCCTTCTCCGTGCGCGGCCGCCAGCGCTTCGCCCGGATGAGCATGGTCCGCGATGGCGCGCGCGCGACGTCGACGTCGAAGGCTGCCCCGACGGCGGCGCTGCGCGCGCGGCCGACGTCGAAGGCTGCCCCGATGGCCGAAGGAAGCCCTCGAGAAGCTGGGAGTTTCAAAACTCGAATTGAACTGCAACTTACTCGTCCCGAAGTCCGCGAGGGTCTTGAAGGGCCCCTTCGGGTGGACGCACGTCTGCATGTGCAGGAAGCGCGTCTGCGGCTCCAACCGGCCGAGGGCCTCCATGTCGCCCGGCGACAGCGGCGCGTCGAAGATGTCCGCGTTCTCCGCGATGCGCGACGCCGTGGAGCTCTTCGGCAGCACGCTGCAGCCGCGCTGGACGCCGTACTTGAGCAGCGCCTGGGCCGTCGTGCACCCGGCGCTCCGGGCGACCTTCGCGACCTCGGCGTGCTCGAGCAGCTTCCCGCCTAGAAGGTACTCGCGATCAGATCGCGCTCGCGAAACGCTCTCGGATCGCGCTCGCGAAACGCGCTCGGACGCGGCCGCACGCGCCGTCGTGCTTCATGAACGCCGCCGAGTCCGCGGACCCCAGCGGCGAGTAGGCGGTGACATGGATGCCCCGCGCCGCGCAGCCCTCGAGGAGCGCGGTCTGGCGCAGGAGCGGGTGGAGCTCGACCTGCAGCACCGCGGGCACGAGGCCCTCGAGCGCGTCGACCTTTTTCAGGGAAAAGTTGCTCACGCCCACGGCGCGCGCGAGGCCCAGCTCGTAGACCTTGGTCATCTCCCGCCAGGTGTCGCCGAGCGGCGGCTCCAGCGTCGGGCCCGGCGCCGTGAAGGGGAAGTGAATGAGGTATCTGCGCGGGGCACGGGTCCCCGTTCAGCGCGGGGCAAAAACAGCGGGGATCGGGCTCGACGACCCATCGACGCCGAGGGCGCACAGGTCCACGTAGTCGAGCTTGAGCCTCGCGAGCGACGCGCGGCACGCGGCCTCGACCTTGGAGCCGTGGTCGCTGTTCCAGAGCTTCGTCGTCACGAAGAGGTCGTCGCGCGTCACGTCGCCCGCGGCGACGGCCTCGGCGATGGCCTCGCCGATGACCGCCTCGTTGGAGTACATGCGCGCCGTATCGATGTGGCCTGCGAGGCGCGTGCTCGGAGAGCTCGCGGACAAAACGCGGGCGCGCGCGGTAGCCCGCTCGGATCGCGTCGCGGACGACGGCCTTCGTCTTCGCGTCGCCGGCCAGCTTCCAGGTGCCGAAGCCCAGCAGCGGGATGGCGCGGCCCGTGTTCAACGTCGCGGTCCGAGGCGTCGCGACCCGCGTCTCCGGGCAGCGCTCGAAGACGGACCGGCTGCCCCAGCCCTTGGCGCCATCGTCCGCCTCGAGGAGCACGCGCTCCTTGGCGCCAAGCATGCGCGTCTCGAGGACGGCGACCTCCGCACCCATGGGTAGCAGGCCGGCCTGCTCCGAATCCAAACCGATCTCTGCGCGCAGAATCGCGCCTTTACGAGCTTTGCATCGCAGGCGCAGCACCATACTCCCCTTAAACAATTCTTCAACGACTTTGTTTTACGCAAGGTTGACGCGGCCACCGGTAGCGCTGGGGCTGCCTCGTCGGAGGTCGTGCGGCCCGCGGGCCGCGCGGACCGCCCGCCGCCGCCATGGGCAAGATGCGGGACGACTTCGAGCAGCTCGTGATCTTCGTCGGCGCGAAGCTCGCGAAATGGTCGGGCCTCGCGTCCGACGAGTCGGCGAAGCGGCGCTACCTGGGCGGCATGAAGCCGGACAAGTACTACGACGAGGTCGTCTACCCGGACCTCAAGGAGACCTTTGAGATTCTCGGCTTCAAGTACGACAAGGGCAAGGAGGCGCGCACGAGCCGCGTTGCATTAGTCTTCGGAGAGACTTCCCAACAACGCGTCGCGCCCGTAGGTCTTCCTCGCGTTCATCGACATCGACGACGACAACAGCGGCGAGGTCAGCGTCAAGGAGTTCCACGCCTGGCTCAAGTACCCGCTGACGAAGTTCAGCGAGCGCGTCTTCGGCATGCTCGACCTCGACAACAGTGGCTTCTTGGACTTCAACGAGTTTTTGATAGGCGTCTGGAACTGGAACACGTACGACGCGTCTTTGATAGCCAAGCTCGCCTACAACATCTTCGACGTGGACCGCGAGGGGAAGATCGACATGGCCGAGGCCGACGCCATGCTGCGCATGGTCTACAACGTGCCCAAGTCGGACCCGGAAATCCTCGAGAAGATGGACGTGAACAAGGACGGCAACATCTCGCTCGAGGAGCTCGAGCAGCTCATCGAGGTGCACAACTACATCCTCATGCCGGCCTTCGACCTCCAGCGCATGCTCAGGATTCGCATTTTGGGCGTCAAGTACTGGGAGGCCGAGAGCCAAAGAAGACGCGTCTACTTCTCGGGCTACGACGCGGGCGCGCAGGAGTCCTGGGAGTCGCTGAAGAAGATCCTGGAGATCAAGCACCAGGCGCGCGTCGAGGAGGAGGAGCGGAACCGGAATTTGAAGGAGATGGAGATCCGGGAGCGCATCGAGGCGCAGAAGCTGCGCGAGGTGAAGCTCAAGGAGGAGAACCAGAAGCGGCGGGAGAAGCGCGCCGAGGAGCGGCGGAGAGCCAAGGAGAGCGTCGAGGTCAAGGCGGAGAAGAAGGCCCGGGCCATCATGGACCAGCTGGTCGCGGAGCGCGACGACGAGGTCGTCTTCGGGGACCTCGCGATCCGGCTGGTGAACCGGGAGAAGTTCTGGAAGGCCTACGAGGACTGGGTCATCAAGGCGAGAAGGGCGCGCGTCACGGAGGGCGCGACGCGGCACCGCCTCGCCGTCGGGCCCGACGCGGACCTGCGCTTCGAGGAGGATTTGGAGACGATGGAGGGCTACGGCGAGTTCTGGACGGAGGTCAAGGCCATCTGGACCATGGAGTACACGGACTACTTGTACGACCGGGGCGGCGTCTGGAACACGACGCTGGCGTCGCTCATGCTGAAGCCGCCCATCGACGAGCTCGACGACGAGTACGAGCCCACGTTTCTGGCCGGATTGCGCATGCGCTTCGCGGGGCGGAAGAAGATGCGGCGCATCAAGGCCCAGGCCAAGGAGATCCTGATCGCCCAGTTCCGCGAGTCCGAGGACGAGCGCGTCGCCAAGGAGATCGCGAAGCAGGAGGAGGAGCAGGAGCTCGAGTTCCGCACGCGGCGCACAGAGCAGGAAAAGGGTGCGAAATTCCCAACTTCAAAGGCTCCGATCTCGGCCGTTTTCCACTCGTTTCGGCTGATTTTTGGACGAGCGATCATCTCTCGGAACGGTCTCGAAGCATGGATGCTTTTTTTTTCTGGAACGCGCGCGCGCGGAACACTCACGTTGAAGCGACGTTGAATCACCCTTTTGCTGCCCAGGCGGCGCAACGACCAGGTCGGCGAGTTCGGGAACAAGAAGTCCAAGTGGGAGCGGCTCTGGGACGCGAACGAGGGCCTGCCGTACTGGATGAACTGGGAGTCCCAGGAGTCGCTCTGGGAGCGGCCCGTCATCTGCCACGTCTGCGACGCGGCGATCCCGGACGACGACGTCATGTGCTTCAAGTGCAAGAACGCGCGGTCCGAGTACAACCAGCGCGTCTACGACGAGCTGCACCCCCTCGAGGCCGAGGAGGAGGCCAAGGACGCCGGCGAGGACGACGACGACGGCACGCTCGTCGACGACGGCTTGATCTTCGACGAGGACGGCAACGTCGTCGAGCGCGAGGCCGTCGAGGACGTCCGCGAGATGGACGACGACGACGGCCCGCCGACGTTCTACCAGCTCTACCTCATGAAGCACGTCAACCGCTTCGCCAAGGCCTTTTTGCCGAAGAAGAAGCCCAAGGTCGAGTTCTCGCTCCCGGGCTCGCTCGCGGACCGCCTCGACCGCATCCCCAAGGTGCCCAACAAGCACGTCGTCCGCCTGCGCAGGGTCTGGCTCGGCGCGCTGCGCCTCGTGGGCATCAAGAAGCGCCCGCGGCGGCGGCCCGCGCCCAAGAAGGTCAAGGTGCTCCCCGCGCCCGCCGCGATCGAGCCGCCGCGGCCCGCCTCCGGCTAGGTCATGTTGTTGTTGTTCCTTACGAGTAGGCGAGGACCCGCGCGCGCACGGAGACGACGGTGAGCGCGTGGCCGCCGCCGCCGCCGACGCGGACCCAGAGCTTGTAGCCCTCGCCGGGCCGCGGCGCGAAGCTCATGGACGCCCGCGTGAGGTGGTGCGGCGCGGGGTCGCGGCCGCAGACGACGTCGGCGGACCAGGGCTGGTAGTCCCCCGGCGCTTTGCCGCCGTTCCGCACGACGCTGAGCATGCCCTTCTGGTTGCCCCAGCCCTGGTCGCGCCAGAGGAACTCGAGGCGCGCCGTGTGCGGCCGCCGCCCGAGGTCCGGCAGGTCGAGCCACGGGTACGCGGCGTACTCGTTGTACGCGCCCTGCCAGCTCTTCGCGTCGGAGGTGATGGTCCGCAGGGGCTCCAGCGCGACGCAGCGCGTGTCCTTGGCGCTCGCGTCGAGCGCCAACGCGTCGGCGGGCTCGAGGTAGCTCGCGATGGTGGCGAGCTGGTCGTGCACGCTGCAGAGCAGGGCTTCGGGCGGCGGTGGAGCCGCGTCCTTCGGCGTCGCGTCCTCGCCGGCCGCGCCGCTCGGGACGGCCGGCGGTGGAGCCGCGTCGTTCGAGGCCAGGCTCCTGCGCAGGAGCCGGAACAAGCGGGCCATGCGCAACGATGCGCGAACTGGGCTTTAATTGCCACAAAAAGTGCAATATAAAAATCGCTAAAAGAGTCGAGCCTCGCGCCGGCCACCCAAGCGAATGGTAGTGCACACCAGCGGCGGCGACGAGCAGCTGAAGTGGTGGTCCACGGAGATCGGCGGCGACGAGGACGAGCCGCTCCTCGCGCGCGCGCGGCGTCGGAAGCGAACCAAAACACACAACCCCAACCACCGCCGCGTAGGACTTTAGCATCCTCCAGGACCCGCGCTTCGTCGCCGCCATCGTCGCCGTGCTGCTCGGCCAGGCCCTCGCCGGGTGGTACGTCTGGCGCGAGATCCAGAAGGAGAAGCATGACTAGCGCCATGTCGCCCGCGCTCCGCGCGAGCCTCCCGATGCTCTACGCGTCTGTGGCAAAGCCCGGGAGCCAGTTCGCGGGGCTGACGCTGGACCAGTTCGCGCAGCTCGTCGAGCGGTCGCCGCAGATCCGCACCTCCTTCGAGTCCTTCGTCGCGGACCAGGTGCCGCCGCCGCCGCCGCCGCCGCCCGCGCCGCCGCCGCGCGGGCGGCGCGTCAAGCTCGCCCTGGTCGTGCCCGCGAACATCTTCTTCTTCGACAGCGACGAGCGGGCGAAACACACGGTCTACAACTGGAGCACGCGCGCCACGGGCGGCCTCGTCGCGTCCCACGCGCTCGTGCGCTACTGCGCGACGTTCTGCGAATTGGACGTCTTGGCCATCGACGACCTCGTCGACCGCCAGCACCTCTACGACGCGGACCGGACGCCCCAGGTCGACGCCTGGGAGGGCATCAAGGTGCTACGCGGGCCGAAGCAGGGGCTCATGAAGGCGTTGGACGAGCTGTGGCAAAAGCATCCGGACGTCGTGACCGCGGCGACGGCGTCGGAGGAGGACGCGGCCTACGACATCTTCAAGAAGTCCGCCGGCTCCGACTCCGAGGACGACGTCGCCCTGTCGCCGGCCGCGCGCCGGCTCGGCCTCATGAACGAGGTCTATGATGTCGTCATCGCGACGCAGATGGAGCACCTGAAATTCGCCATCGAGCACGTGCCCGCGCGGCACAAGTGCTGCCCGGTCCACGACCAGCACTCCCTGCCCTGGGGCCCCTGGCCGCCCTGCGTGACGGCGGCGAAGACCGACCCGGTCGTCGCGGAGGAGTGCGCCCAGTCGTCCCACGACTTCCGGCGGTGCACGCTGCTCTGCACGTCCGCTTTTGTGAAGCGCGCCGTCGTCAGGCACGGCGAAAAGGGCCAGAAGGCCGTCGTCTGCTACGGCGCGGACTACGCGGCCTACGGCGGGCGGACGCTGCCGGTCTATGATGTGACGGGCGCGCCGAGCTTCGGAGGCCAGCCCTTGACCGCGGAGATCTGCCGCGAGTTGCACCGCGCGACGGGCCCCGAGAGCGACGGGCCCACGAACTTATTTGCCACGCTCATCAGCCCCTGCGCGGCCAAGGGCGCGGCGATCGTCGCCGAGCTGGCGGCGCGCTGCCCGGACGTGCCGTTCCTGTGCGTGTCGACGCGCTGGACGCGCGACTCCGAGGCGGAGATCCAGGCGCTGAAGCGGCTGCCGAACGTCGTCTTCGCGAGCGGCGTGCCCTCGGAGCGCATGGACGCCCAGGTCTGGCGGCGCACGCGGGTTTTGCTCGCGCCGTCGGTCTGGCCCGAGCCCTTCGGCTTGGTCGCCGTCGAGGCGGCGCTCCGGGGCATCCCCGTGCTGTCGACGAACCTCGCCGGTCTGCGGGAATCGAACGTCACGGGCCGGGTCCTCCCCTGCCCCCTGCTCATGGACATCCACGTCCAGAAGACCTTCGCGTGCGCCGACGGCCGCGACGTCGTCGCGGCCTTCGAGGGCCTGTCCGACGGCGAGCGGGCGACCCTACGAAGCGGCACGCCCGTCGCGCCCTTCGCGCCGGCGACGCCCGCGGACGTCGCGCGCGCCGCGGAGCCCTTCGTCGCGGCGCTCCGGGAATTGACGGACGCGGACGGCGCGCTGGAAACCGCGGCGGCCCGCGCGCTGAAGACGGCGCTGGACCACGTCGAGCTCCGCCAGCACAGCCTCGCGCGCGTGCTCCGGGGCCTGGACGTGGCGCGCCCGCCCTGGGTGCGGCTCCACGTCGACGGCGTCGGCGGCCCGGACTCGCAGCCGGGCGCCGCGGTGCTCGCCGCGAACCTGGCGGCGAATCTGGCCGTCGCTGGCTAGACTAGCTCGTCTTAATCGTCGTCGCTCCCGGCGGCCTTCTTCTTCTTCTTGGACCGGTACGCGGCGGCCTCGTGGTCCGCGGCGGCCTCGCGCTTCTTCGTCATGGCGTAGGTCTCGTCGTCGGAGTCGTAGAGCGTCGCCTCGCCGTAGCCGCCGTCCGTGCCGTCGAAGTTGCGCGACAGCTTGGGCGCGGCGACCGTGGCCGTGCCCATGATGGGGTCGCGGTGGACGACGCCGCCGGTCTTGGCCTTGGCCTTGCGCCGCTCGCGCCGGTTGCCGCCCGCGGGCGTCGGACGCACGGCCGACTGCTGTTGCTCGGGCGGCGCGGCCGCGGCGTCGAAGTCGTCGTCGTCGTCGCCGTCGTCGGTCTTCGCGGGCCGCGCGGGAGGCGCGGCCGCGGGCGCCGCCTCGGCGGCGCCGTCGTCGTCGTCGTCGACCATGGCCGCGGCGCGGCGCGACGCCTCGGCGCGCTCGCGGAGCGAGCGGCCGTCGCCGTCGCCGGACCGCGTCGCGAGGCCGGGGGCGTAGTCGGCGCCCGCGTCCTCGAAGATGTCGTCGCTCCGCGCGGGCGCTTTCAGGGACACGGGCGCGGCGGCGGCGTCGGCCGGCGCGCGCTTCTTGCCCTTCTTCTTCTTCGCTTGGCCGCGGCCGAGGGCCTCGCCGACGGCCCGCGCGAGCGGCGCGGGCAAGGGCGCGCCGAGCTCGCGGTCGTCGTAGAGCTGGGACCGGTCCGCGCGGCTCCGGGACACCGTCGTCGGCGCGTCGCCCGAGTCCATCAAAGCGGCGCGCGACAGGTCGTATTCTAAAGAAGTCGTCCGGAGCCGGAGCCGCGCCGTCGCGGACCGCGCGGGCGGCGGGCGCCGGAGGAACGCGAGGACGCCCGCGGCCATCTTCGTCTTCGTCGTCGCGGGCGCGGGCGCCGTTGTCTTGGGCGCGCTCCGCGGCGGCGGCGGCGCCGTGGACGACGGCGGCGCCTCGGACCGGACCTTTTGGAGGAGCGCGTAGTCGAGGCCCTTGACGAGGTGCGTGTGCTCGACGTCGCCGCCGAGGTACCGCGACGTCTCCGCGTCCATATCGACGATGGCCGCGACCTGGTTCTCGTAGTCCTTGTTCGTATCCGTGCGCCGCTCCTCGGCGCGGTCCCGGTACTTGCCGTCCTTCTTCTCCTTGTCCTTCTTCTTCTTCTCCCACTTGTTCAGCGCGTCGCGCTTCTCCGCGTCGGCGCCGCCGCCGCCGCCGCCCTTGCCCTTGTGCTTCTTCGACTTCTCCCGCTGCAGGTCCGCGTTGACGAGCTTCCGGATCGCCGCCTTGTCCATGGGCTTCTCCTTGTCGCCGCCGCCGCCGCCGGCGTGCGGCTTCGGCGTCGCCATGATCTTGGCGAAGGCCGCGTTGTCCATGGTGGAAGTGGAGCGGCGCGACGGGCGGCGCGGGCCTGTCGACGGGCTTGGCGGCGCGCGCGAGGCCCAGGCCGAGCTCTGCCACAAGACGATGTTGCCGGCCCGGGATCGCCAGTGGAGATGCCAACCTCCTCGCCACGAAGCTGCCGCGCACAGCAGTCGCGCAAAAAAATCGTGATCGCGTGTCGTCGCGTCGCAGAAGAGGGCTGAGTCGCAGCGCGCCAACCCATTTGACAGCCACTCCAGCACGATGGGCGAGACACTGTCGAAGCCGAGCGGTCCCACGTACCCGATTACCTACGCGCCCGGCGCGTCGCGCGAGGGCAAGGTCTGCGTGCGCCGCCGGCGCCCGACACGCGCGCGCGCCCCCCCGCACCCGCCCAGAACTCGCATTTCACTCCCGCGCCGCGCGCGCGCGCGCGCGGCGCGCGCCGAAAACATTCGACGCCGCCCAACTTTAGGTCGCGATCGGCGGCGGCGGCGGGTTCATCGGCAGCTGGCTCGCGCTCGACCTCAAGAAGAAGGGCTTCTACGTCATCGCGGCGGACTGGAAGAAGAACGAGTTCATGGAGGTGCCCGAGTTCTGCGACGAGTTCCACCTCTGCGACCTGCGGCTCCAGGCGAACTGCCTCAAGGTCGTCGACGGCTGCCGCGACGTCTACAACCTCGCCGCGGACATGGGCGGCATGGGCTTCATCAAGTCCAACGAGTCCGTGCTCATGTACAACAACACGATGATCTCCTTCAACGTGCTCGAGGCGGCGCGCTGCAAGGGCGTGAAGCGCTACTTCTACAGCTCGAGCGCGTGCGTCTACAACGACGACCTGCAGCTCGACCCGGACAACCCGGGCCTGAAGGAGGCCGGCGCGTGGCCCGCGAAGCCCCAGGACACCTACGGCCTCGAGAAGTTGTACGCGGAGGAGATGGGCATCGTCTACGGCCGCGACTTTGGCATCAAGTTCCGCTGCGCGCGGTTCCACAACGTCTACGGCCCGCGCGGCACGTGGAAGGGCGGCCGCGAGAAGGCGCCCGCGGCCTTCTGCCGCAAGGCCGTCTGCGCCACGTCGGAATTCGAGATGTGGGGCGACGGCAAGCAGACGCGGTCCTTCATGTTCATCGACGACTGCGTCGAGGGCATCCAGAAGATCATGGACTCGGACTGCGAGCAGCCGCTGAACCTGGGCTCCGACGAGATGATCGACATGAACGACTTCGCCAAGCTGGCCCTCTCCTTCGAGTCCAAGGAGCTGCCCATCAAGCACATCCCGGGGCCCGAGGGCGTCCGCGGCCGCAACAGCGACAACACGATGATCAAGGAGAAGCTCGGCTGGGCGCCGTCGATCCCCGTCGCCGTGGGCCTCAAGAAGACCTACTTCTGGATCAAGGACATGGTCGAGAAGGACAAGGCCGCGGGCATCGACACGGCCAAGCTCGGCGTCTCCGAGATCGTCGTCCAGAAGACCGACGAGCTCGACGAGCTCGCGAAGAACGCCTAGGGACCGCCGCGCCTCCGCCGGGCCGCGAACACCGCGCGCGCCGCGGGTCCCCGCGCCGCGCCCCCCGCCCCTCACCTAACGCGCCGCCCTCCGTTCTCTACGACGCGCCGCCCCTCCGAGCGACGTCGACGTCGAGGACGTAGGCCGGGTGGTCGCCGCGCGGCGCCGCCGCGGGCGTTTCTTCGCTGTTGAACCAGCCCGTGACGGCGAAGCGGCCGTCCCCGGCGACGACGGGCGTGACCATGTGCCAGTTCGCGTCGTCGCCGACGGCGAAGACGAGGAGCGTGTTGAACTCCGCGTGGCAAATGGCGACGGGATCGACGAAGACGAGGTCGCCGCCGCGCTCCGGCGGCCAGTCGCGCGCGAGGTGGAGCACGAACGCGAGGCGCCGCCGCGCGGACGCGTCGGAGTGGAGCGAGGTGTAGCAGCCGGGGCCGTAGCGCGTCGCCATGACCGTCGTGTCCGCGTCGAGCGACCCCGGCGCCGCGCGCAGCAGCCGCTCGGCCCAGCGCTTCGTCGCTGGCGCGTTGAAGAAGCCGTAGAGCCGCCGCAGCGTCGGCCGGCTCGCGTGGAAGAAGCGCGCCGGCCGGTGGTCCGACAGCGCGTCGAAGCGGTACTGGTACTTGGGCCGCGCCTCCGCGCGCCGCTCCCAGTCCGTCGTTCCCGCGAGCTCGTCGTGGAGCTCGTCCGCGACGCCGGCGTCGAGGAAGTTGCGGAGGCGCGCGACGCCTCGGCCGTCGGCGACGTGCCGCGCGAGCCGTTCCCGCAGCGCCTCGTCTCCGAACCAGGGGCCGACCCAGTCCTCGAGGTCGCCGGCGAGCTCGCAGCGCTCGAACTCGACGAGCACGCGCCGGCGCGCCAGCGACGCGATCTGCTCGAGCACCTCGCCGTCGTCGCTCTCGCCGAGGCTGCTCATCGGCTTACGAAGGGGGGCTGCTACACTCGTTCATTTGCGGCTCCATCACTTTCCATCGTAATTGAGAGCGCTTCACTTTCGATTGTTGAAGAAGAAACGCCTGGGCAGCATGGAGGCGCTTCCTGTCCTCTCCTCTCCCCGCACGGGCATGCCATGGCCGTCGCCGCTGATCGTCCTCTCCCTCGTGGCCGCGGCCAACGGGGACGGCTACGGCCACGGCATGGGCAAGAGCACCTACGCCGCGTCGGATCCGCTGAAGTGCTACGCCTTCTTCGACAGGTTCCTGCCCGTGCGGTGCCAGGACCCGCCGAGTTTTGGGTTCTGCAACAGCACGGGCGAGTGCTACACGAGCGGGCGCGCGTCGCTCTGCAACGCCGCGGACATCCTCCCCGGGGGCGGCGCCTGCACGTACCCGAACAGCAGCATGGGCGCGCGTGCCGGCGTTCGTCCCAGTCCTCCCGAAACAACGCGCCGCGCCCGCGCAGGACTTTGGGCTCCACGCGGTCAACGTGAGCTCGCGCCCCGGCTACGCGTCGATCTTGCAGGCCGAGGCCATCTTCGACGCGCGCTGGGCCCGCGCCGTCGACGCGGGGGAGCTCAACGCCGTGCTGGACTACGCGACGATGCTCTTCGCGCCGTCGCTCGACGGCTACCTCGACGCCTTCGACGCGGCGGGCGTCGACCACCTGCTCGTGGGCCCCTGGGCCGACGACGAAAACCACGCCCACGCCTCCGTGCTCGTGCGCGCGTGCGGCATGATCGTCCTCGAGCTCGTGTCGTCGAAAATCCCGGCGCCGCGGAAGTCCACGGTGGTCATAGCGGACGGCCTCTCGCGGCTGCCCGCGGCCGTCTTCCGGAAGCTCAACACGTCGACCCAGGACCCCCGCGTGCTCCAGCCCCTCGGCGTGTCCAAGGCCGCGTCGGACCTCGACGCCGTCGACGCGTTCTACGCGGGCCCGATGCGCGGCGAAAAATGCCACGGCGCGGCGGCCGGCAGCGCCGAGCTCGCGGCCTACGCCCTCCCGGGCGCCGGCGCCGTCGTCCGCTTCCTGCGCCGCGGCGCGGACGCGGCGGTGCGAGCGCTGGAGACGCTCAAGAAGGACGCGCGCGCCGCGTACCACGTCGACGCGTTCTGCGGCGTCGACAAATGGTACGACAACCACTACGACTACGTGCAGTACGACGTCGCCCTCGACGACTTCCGGGAGGCCTTCGTGGCCTTCGGCGCGGCGCACCACGTCTTCGGCAACGGCACCGTGCCCTACAACATCTACGTCGGCGACCCGACGGGCGACTCGATCCAGCTCGTCGGCGCCTGGCGCGAGCCGCCGGCCCTCGCGAGGGGCGACGCGCTCACGGACGCGTGCACCCAGGGCAACTGCGGCCGCTTCACGGCGACGGCCGCCTGCGCCGCGGCGCTCCGGGCCGACGAGGCGCTCCGCGGCGCGAAGACGAACTGCACGGACGTGCTGTACGGCGCTCGCTGGGCCGACCTGGTCGCCGCGACGTGCACGAACGCCGACGTCGTCAACTTCTGCGTGCCCGACTCGTGTTAAAGTGGCTTGTTGCTGTTGTCGAACGAGGGGCCGGGACGCACGGCACCATCGACGCAAACGTCACGCTCAACGGTTGCAGTGGCAAATCCAAAGCTCCCTTTCGCTTTGTTCTTCAGTGCGCGCGCCGTCACGATGGGAGGCCCACTTGACGACGAGGACTTCGAGATTCTGGACGAGGACGGCTCGGTCGTCGCGCCCGAGGACGACCACCCCGGCGACGTGACGTCGGACGAGGAGGAGGAGGCGGAGGAGGCCGAGCTCTCGTCGGAGGACGAGGAGGAAGGGGAGGACGAAGAAACGGACGAGGAGGAGGAGGAGGAGGAGGACGACGACGACGAGGAGGACGAGGACGAGGACGAGGAGGCGGAGGACGACACGCCGGCGCCCCGGGTCCTGCGGCTCCTCTTCTTCGGGGTGCTGCTCCCGATGGTGCTCCTCGACGGGCCGATCCTGTCGACGCTCGCGGCGCGGAAGGCGGCCCACGCCCAGAAGTCGGCGCGGTCCGCCCGGCGCAAGGCCCGCCACTGGCGCGCCCAGGCCAAGCTCTGGCGCAGCGAGGCGCTCAAGTGGGAGCGCGCGGCGGCGGAGAGCGAGCGCGACGTCGTCCGGGCGAACGAGGAGCTGCTGGCCAAGGACGAGGCCGTGCTCGCGCTGCGGGCGCTGGCGAGCCGCGAGCTCGACCGCGCGGCGCGCAACGCGTCCGCCTACGAGGTCCCCGCGCCCGCGCCCGCGGTGAGTCTCCGCCTGCCCGCGTGGGATCTCGCGGGCGACGGCGACGACCCGAGCGACGACGGCCTCCCGGGCGGCGGTCTGCGCGTCGCCGTGGCGCTGTCGGGCCACGGCGAGCCCCTGCGCGTGACGCGCGCGCCGCCCCTGGACCTCATCGGCGCGCCGCCGGTTCCGCCGGCGGCGATCGTCGTCGACGCGGCGGCGAAGCTCGGCCGCCCGCCCGTCGCGCCCCAGGCCTGGCCGGGCGCCCTGGACCGCAAGGCCTGGAAGAAGCTGAAGAAGCGCGAGAAGCGCGACGCGAAGCGCGGGGGGGCCGTCGACGTCGCGGCCGCGCCGCGCGCGGCGCCGTCCAACGCCGTCGCGGCGCCGCGCGAAACCGCGCCGGACCTCCTGGCCTACGACGTCACGGCGCCGGCGGTCCACGTCGTCGCCGCGACCTTCGGCGCCGACTGCCCCCGCTACGCCGAGGGCCACGCGGCGGAGCGCGGCGCGTTCCGCGCCGTCTTCAAGCGCTGCCACCTCGCGGAGCGGTCCTGCACGGTCCGCGTCACGAACCGCGACACGGGCGGCGACCCCTTCCCGAACTGCGACAAGCCCCTCGTCGTCGCCTACCACTGCGGCGAGGCCGCGGACGTCCGCGCGTCGAAGACGGTCCACGCCGCGCACGGCACGCGCACGGTGACCATGGCCTGCCACAGCGACCTCCTCTGAGCGGCGCGAGAAGCCGAGCCCTGTCCATAGACGCCCCGCCCCCCCGCACCCGGAGTCCGACGCGCCGCGCGGACCCGCATCGCCGCGCCGCCGCTCCTCCGAGGGGGGCCCCTGTTCTCTAGCCCCGCACCCGCCTTCCATCCTCCCCGCGGGAGGCGCCGCCTAACATATCCCACGCATGCGCACGATTGCGGCATTGGCGCCGCGGCCCGAGAGTGTCTGCGGGGGGCGTAAGTTCGGGACCGACGCCCTCACGTCGCTGCTCTCGAGAGCAAGCGCAGGCTAAGCGCGCTCGTCGTTCGATTAAAGCATCAAGGTAAAGATGCTGAGTCAACATCGATGGTTGCCGCAATCTGTTACCGCCAGCCCCAGGAAGTGGCTAACAATGAGCGCGCTGCCTTCCTGAGCGGGAGGTCGGACACCAATCGACGCGGAGCTTATCGACGCATCCCGGTGAGTCGTCGTAAGGGCTGACACATCATGGCGCCCGTCGTCATCCCCGAGTCTGGCGCCGTCCCCGTCGCCACGCCGGTGCAGAACAGCCTCGAGATTACCGTGCAGAAACCGGCGGCCGACGCCAAGGTCGGCGTCGCGCTGGTCGGCAGTCCGCCGCTCGTGCACCAGGTCCGCGGCCTCGGCGCGGCCGCGGGCCTGCGCCTCCACGACCGCGTCGTGAGCGTGAACGGGCTGCCGGTCTCGGGCCAAGAAGACGCGGTGGCCGCGCTCGCCGCGGCGCATCCAGGTACGCTCGTCGTGGTCGTCGAGCCTCGGGAGCCGCCGCCCGACGCGCCCGCCGGCGGCCACTTCTTGCGCGAGCACTATTGCGGCGAGAACGCGTCGCATGAGTGCTTCTGTTTCGGGTGCGTGATCAAGGGCGACGTGCGCGAGGTCTACCTGGCGCCGGACGGGCGCCGCTTCTCGGCGCGCGGCGAGGAGGTGGTGCGCAGCACATATGATGGACTCGGCTGTGCCCAGCCGTGTTCCCCGTCGAAGGACGTCGTCGCCGCGGCGGCGGCGCCGCGGCCCCAGAGTGTCCAGCGGACGTAAAGTTGAAGCGGCGGGATATGCTACGCCTAACGCTCCGATACCTCTTCGGTTTGTGTTTTTTGCCCCGCCGGCCCGCCCATACGCGTGCGAGTCGTCGATCTCGCAGCGCTGGCAGTACGGGACGGCATCAATGCATCATCGGCGCGCGGAGCAACGAAGGCCTCATCGAGCAGTTCCATCGCTTGAAGCTCCTCGAGGCTAGCTCAGTCCAGCTCCGCCGTCGCCCGCTGTGCACCATGGTCCGCGTCGCGTTCCTCCTGGCCTTCGCGTGCCTCGCCGACGCGCTGAGCGTGCGGCACCGGTCCCTCCCGCGCCTCGCGCCGGCGAGACGACGAGCGGCGGCGCCGCTGACCATGTCGTCGACGGAGCGGAGCAACAAGAGCAAGCTGCAGACCATCGTCAAGGACAAGATCGAGGAGGACACGGCGGTCAAGGAGGAGCTGAACATCGAGGAGCCCTGGCGCGGCCCCGGCGCCCGGACGCGCGCGCGCGTTTCGGATGCGCGCTCGCCCGGCCACGCCCCGACGCACACGATTTAGGCGGCTCCTGCTGCACAACGACGACGTCCACACCTTCGAGTACGTGACCTACATGCTCCAGAAGATCATCCCGACGATCTCCAACGCCAAGGCCTACCAGCTGACGATGACGACGCACTGCGAGGGCGTCTCGACGGTATCGCAGACGGCGAAGCCGCTCGCGCAAAAGTACTGCGTCCAGCTCCAGAAGGGCGGCCTCACGGCCTCCATCTCGCCGGACAGCAATTTCAAGAACAACAGGAGCGGCGGCGAAGGCGACGGCGACGGCCCGGACACCGCGTAGGCGCGCCCGCTAACGGCGCGCGGGCCACCCGACGGGACGCCGACACGGGCGGGGAGGGGGGCGCCCCGCGCGCGCGGGGCCCGGAAGCGACCGCTTCGAAGCGCGGAGGCGACGCGGCCGTCACGCGGTTTCGCTTCTCGCGGCGCGTTAGGGGTCGCCGCGTCAGAGCGCGGCCTTGATCGCGTCCGCGCCGTCGAAGACGCCGCTCTTCTTGCCGAGCGCGCCGGCGACGGCGGCGGCGGCGACGGCCTCGACGGGCACGGGGGGCACGCCCGGCGGGCCCGGCGGGCCCGGCGGGCCGCCGGTGATGATCGCGGGCTTGAGGATCATGTAGTCGCCGAAGTCCCGCTTCACCGCCGCCTCGGCCTGCGCCTTGCCCTTCATGTAGTCGCCTGCGGTGGGGAGCGGGGGTGCGGGAACGCGCGAAACACGGACGGCGTCGCACCGAAGATGAACTTGCCCGGACCGTCGGAGATCGCGCTCGCGACGCTGACGTAGACCTGCGCGGCGGTGTCGGGCGCGGCGGTTTCGGACGCTCGCGCACCATCTTGGGCACCTTGCTCTTGGCCGCGGCGTCGGCGATGGCGACGTTGACCGCGCCGTTGCCCGCGAGCTGATTCTTGCCGCCGGGGACGACGCCGACGCAGCTCACGACCGCGTCCGCGCCCTTGAAGACGGCGCTCAGGTCCGCCGTGGCCGCGTCGGCGGAGACGTAGGTCACGGCCTTGTCCGGCAGCGCGCCGACGAACTTGGCGACCTTCTCGCGCTGCGCGTCCGGCGACGAACGCGAGACCGTCGTGACGCTCGCGCCGGCCTTGGCGAGGTCGCGCGCGACGTAGGACGCGACGAAGCCCGTGCCGACGACGACGACCTTCTTGCTGCCGCCCTTGGCCTGCGCCGCCGCCGGGACGAACGGCAGCGCCGCGGCGCCGGTGCCGACCTTGAAGGCCGTCCGGCGGTCCATGGCCGTCCGCGGCGCCAGCGCCGCGGCGGAGGCGACGAGTGCGAGCACGAGCTGCATCTGTTGCCTACGCGCTGCTGCTGTGCGCTCGCTTTTCGGTCGCTCCGGCGCTCCGCGTGCAAGCTGAAGCCCCAGACTGCTCACGGATCGAGGCACTCGAAGGTCAACTGGTTCGGTGCAGCCATGTTGCAGTATGTTGAAGCGACATCGCGCGCTGTAACGTCGCTGCCGGGACAAGCGCAGAGCGGAGGGATGGGTCGGACGACATGGCGAGCGTGCGAACGCGCCGCCGCCGCTGGCACGCCGCCTCCGAGCGCGCGAAGCGAGGCCGCCAATACGCGGCGCGAAGCCGCCCGTCGCAGCACGGGGCGTAGATACACAGGATTAGGCGCCACCTCGCTAGGACGCCGTCGCGTCGTCGAAAGCGCCGCCCGCCGTCGCGTCGTCGGCGGCGCCGCCCGCCGTCGGGTCGTCGACGACGTCGTCGGGCAGGCCGACGACGCCGGCGATCCAGTCCGCGTTGATCGCCGCGCACGCGGCCGCCTCGACGCCGACGTCGACGGCGAGCCCCGCGGCGCGGATGCGCTCGATGCCGTTGCCCGCGACCCAGGGCGCCGGGTCGAGGATGCCGACGACGACGCGGCCGAGGCCCGCGGCGACTAAGGCGTCGCAGCACGGCGGCGTGCGGCCCACGTGGCTGCAGGGCTCGAGCGTCACGTAGGCCGTCGCGCCGGCGACGCGTGCGGTGCCCGCGTCGACGAGCCAGTGGTCGCCGCCGCGCGCGTCGCGCTCGACCGACACGCCCGCGTCGCGGAGCGCGAAAATCTCCGCGTGCGGCGCGCCGGCCTTCGGGTGGAACCCGGCGCCGAGCTTCGCGCCGTCGGCGCCGACGATGACGCAGCCGACCTGCGGGTTCGGGTGGCAGGCATCGCCGCCGAGCGCCGCGAGCGCCAGCGCCTCGCGCATCCACTTGGCGTCGTCGGCGGCCGAGGACGGCGCGGCGCGGCGGGCAGTGCGGCGAGCTATCCGCGCGGGCGGTCGCAGCGCGCGCGCGCGCGACGCGAGCGCGGCGACGACGAAGAGAGCGGCGGCGTGCGAGGCTCGCGGCCGCCTGCGGCTGCTGGACGCCACCATTGCGTGCGTAGCGTATCGGCCTTGACCGGCAATTGCCGCAAAGTCGGCGCTCGGCGAGCCCTCGACCCATCCACGCGTAGACTGATCCAAGTACGCCGCGCCGTCCCACACCCCCCCGCCCCCTCCAAACGCGCACGCCCGTCCCCCCCACTCGTCGCGTCGCGCCGAGAAGCCGCGTGAACCGTCGGCGCGCGCGGCGCCGTTCGCGACCGGCGAGTCACCGCTTTCGTCAGCGAATCCTGTCGAGGGCACACACATTACCCCCCCAACTCCCCCCCAAACTCCCTCGCGACAACCACCCCTGGCGTAGGCACCCATGGCGGTCCTCAAGTTCCTACTGCTCGCGACGGCCTCCGCGACCCTCGAGCTCACGGGCGACACCTTCGACGAGGCCGTCCTATCGAGCGGCAAGTCGGCCTTCGTCAAGTTCCTCGCGCCCTGGTGAGGCCACTGCAAGGCGATGAAGCCGGCGTGGGACGCTTTATCGCAGGACTACGAGGGGTCGAAGACCGTGCTCGTCGCGGACGTCGACTGCACCGCGGCGGGCAAATCGCTGTGCGCGCGGTTCAAGGTCTCGGGCTTCCCGACGATCAAGTACTTCAACCCGCCGAACCACGTCGGCGAGGACTACGACGGCGGCCGGTCCCTCGACCAGCTCCGGGCCTTCGCCGAGAGCGAGCTCAAGATCGCGTGCTCGCCGACGTCGAAGGCGAGCTGCTCGAAGGAAGAGCTCGCGCAACTCGAGAAGGACCTCGCCATTCCCGCGGCGGCGCGCACGGCCGAGCTCGTGAAGATCTACGAGGCCATGGACGCCGACGCGGAGAAGCACGACGCCTACCTCGAGGAGCTCCAGGCCCGGTACGACGAGGCCGAGGAGGCGCTCGAGGCGCGCAACGCGGCCGTCGAGCCCCGCGTCAAGCAGCTCAAGGCCGCGGGCACGACGCTGCCCGAGGGCTTCAAGCGCCGCGACGAGGAGGACGAGGACGAGGAGGACGAGGACGAGGAAGACGACGACGACGACGACGAGGGCGACGCGGACGGCGACGACGACGACGACGACGAGGGCTCGGACGAGCTCTAGGCGCGCGGCGACCGACACGCGGGTTCGCGCGCCGGCGCGCGCCTCGCGACGCGGCCGCACAACGA